AGCTAAAGATTTTTTCAAATTTGTTGATCTTTTTAAAGAATTAACTTACAAGTTTTGTTGATCTTCAGTATTATTTGGGTTGAATTTTTAGTTATTTCTGTTTTTTTTCTCTATAATTTTTTCCTTTCACCTGCTTTGAGTTTAGTCATCTTCTTCTAGTTTTTTTTTTTTTTTTTTTTTTTTTAAGATTTATTTATATGCAGTAGAGAGAGAGCATGAGCATGCACCTGTGGGGGTGGGGAGGGTGGAGCAGAAGGAGAAAATCCTCAAGCAGACTCCTCCCAGAGCTCAGAGCCCAACATAGGGCTTCATCTGAAATAATGACCCGAGCTTGAGCCAAAACCAAGAGTCCAATGTATAACCAACTGAACACTCTCCCCAGCCCCCCCCCACCTTTTTAAACATTTATTTTTATTGTCTTTGTCTAGTTTCTTTTTTTTTTTGTTTTTAAGATTTTGTTTATGGGGGGCGGGGGAGAGCAAGCGAGCACACATTTGAGCACAGAAAGGGAGAAGCAGACTCTCCACTGAGCAGAGAGCCTGATGTGGGGCTTGATCCCAGGACTCTTGAGATCATGACCTGAACTAAAGGCAGACACTTAACCAACTGAGCTACCCAGGCACCCCTTTTTTCTAGTTTCTTAAGGGGACTTTATATCATTGATTTTTTTTTTCTAACATAAATATTTACAGTTGTAAATTTCTCTCTGGCATCATGTTAGCAGTATCTCGCCAAGTTTTATTCTGTGGTATTTTCATTATCATTCAGTTCAAAATATTTTCTAATTTCTCTTGTGATTTCCTCTATGACACATAGGTTCTAAAGAAGTATGTTCTTTAATGTCCAAGTATTTGCTAAAAAAAAAGGGGCATCCTTGGTAGAGAATAGTAAGCAAACTGCATGGGGGTGCTAGAATCACTTGGTTTGTTGCTAGAGTCCAGGACATAGGGGTTTTGATGATTCTTACACTGAGGGCTTAAGGTTTGTTTAGTCAGTACTGGAAAACATTGATGGGTTTTAAACAGGATGGGAACTGATCTAGCAAGATGTGAGAGCTCTCTGTAAGAGCTGTCTGGTATTATAACTTTTACATCAGGGTTTCAGGAAGGTGATGCTGAGGGTTATGGAGGTGAGGAGTCCAGACAATAGTACTGATAGGTTGTGTGTGTGTGTGTGTGTGTGTGTGTGTATGTGTTTAAGATTTTATTTATTTATTCATGAGAAACAGAAGGAGGCAGACATAGGCAGAAGCAAAAGCAAAAGCAGGCTCCATGCAGGGAGCCTGACGCGGGACTCGATCCCGAGACTCCAGGATAGGCCCTGGGCTGAAGGTGGCGCTAAGCCACTGAGCCACCCAGGCTGCCCACTGATAGGTTGTTAATCTTGATCAAAACAGTCCAGCAGGGGCTCATCTTGATGAGCAGATTCTCCATAATTGAAAGACAGAAAAATGGAAGACTCCCCAGTTGTGAAGTATTGATTCAGAATGGGTTACTGAGCTCTCTGAGTATTAAATAGTAATGGTGTGAATACTCAGGGAATTCTTTCTTGAGAGAGTTCAGCTGCCTGCACTTTGAGAAAGACAGATTTTTATATTTAATGTTCTATTTTATTTTTTTTAAAGTTTTTTATTTATTTATTCATGAGAGACAGAGAGAGAGAGAGAGAGAGAGAGAGAGAGAGAGAGAAGGGCAGAGACACAGGCAGAGGGAGAAGCAGGCTCCATGCAGGGAGCCAGATGCGGGACTCGATCCTGGGACTCCAGGATCAGGCCCTGGGCTGAAGGTGACCCTAAACCACTGACCACCCAGGCTGCCCCGCCAGAGACTTTTGGAACCTAACTTCCCTGTAGGTTGCCTGGCATCCATGATAGGGCGAGGCACAGTCACACTGAATTTTGCTTAAATTAATGGTCTCTGAGTTCCTTCAGGTTTATAATGGATTATTGAGGGAGAGTCCTTGATTTTCTGTGATATACTATGAATATAATGTGGGCCATTTTCACACCACCATCTGTGATATGGGGATCACAGTAGTGCTTCCTGCAGAAGGCTGGTGGGAGGCACATATAGCTGATACATGTGTGCCTCTTTTTTAAAAAATATTTTATTTATTCATGAGAGACACGGGGGTGGGGGCAGACACACAGGCAAAGAGAGAAGCAGGCTCCATGCAGAGAGCCTGATGTGGGACTCGATCCCGGGTCTCTAGGATCAGGCCCTGGGCTGAAGGTGGTGCTAAACCACTGAGCCACCCGGGCTGCCCACTTGTGTGCCTCTTATCTTGTATATATTGATGTATTCTTGGCTATTGGCATTGAAAGAATAGATTCATATCACTCCACTGTCAGTTTCCTAAAGTGGTAGATGTATCCTCTCCTCATATAATTTCTTTTCACTAAAATTCAACTCTGCTGGGATATTCTGAGTTTGTCAGTAGTGGACTTGGAATCACTAATAAAATTTGTTTCAACAGAAGGCCATGTTTTCCATTGTGGGCTGCACCTGGTGTGTAAATTCTGAGGTTTTGTTGCTGTTGTTAGTGCTGTTCAAATCAAGGGATCAGACCAAGGTATTGTTAAAGTTCTGTTTCCTAAGGAAAGTTGAGGAATTACATTTTAAAAATCTACAGATTAAAGACCTGATATCATTTAATGATTGACATCTATTGAGTGGCCAACCTTTGTCCAGTCCAATTCTAGGCTCTGTGGATCTGTGAGAGGCAGCCTGACCCCTGTTTTTAGCTCAAAGGCTCCACTTAAGCCATCTGTGGTGAGACGAGGGGATGGCTGCTGGACATAGGACTCCTCTGGGTTTTCCAGGTGGTTTAGTACTACCTTTGATAGAACCTAGTAGCCAACGTATGCCAATATATTTAGAAGTCAGGATAGAAACGGTGGAGGGCTGTTTTGGGCCCCATTAGGTAAGAGGTGATACAAGAGGCTCCAGTGAGGAGGTCGTCCAAAACAATATCAATATCGGGTTAAAAAAAAATTGTAGCCAGAAGCTACATCCAAACCAGTCATTTATCTTTAAACCATTTGTTTTGTCTCTTTATTTTGTGGTATTGGTTTGCTGTGGATAGTTTTTTTTTTTATGGCTGTAGTTAGAAGAAATGTCATTATAATTCAGGAATCCGAGACCTAAAGTCTCCATGGTCCTCAACAAGAAAATACTATAACAACATGCGTGAATCAGATACCTGTTACCTTGCATGGAAGGGAAGTAGGGACCCCCATTCTTAGTGAAATGTGTTGTCTTGAGACCTTGGTTTTCTCCAGATGTACCTCGGCTATAGGACAAAAAGGCACTCACTCACTGCATAGCCTTTGACGCTGATTATGCACTGGAACATGCCCTTGTTTTGTAAGTGTGCACCTGTCTCCTTTCAGGAGTAACTTGAGCTTTTGGAGCAGGGATTACATGTTGATCACTGTGTCTTTCCCCCTGCCGTTCTTATCTGTGGACCAACTGCCTTACAGTTCCTCTGTAGCTCCTGTTTAAAGACTCAGTCCAGGGGTGCCTGGGTGGCTCAGCTGGTTCGGTATCTGCCTTCTGCTTAGGTCGTGATCTCAGGGTCCTGGGATCAAGATCCACATGGGCTCCTTGCTCAGTGGGGAGTCTGCTTCTCCCTCTCTCTCTATCCCTTTGCCTGCTCTGCCTACTTGTGCGTGTGCATGCTCGCTCTGTCAAATAAAATCTTTGGGGAAAAAAATGTAAAGATACGGTCCAGGGGGCAGAGTATCAAGGTTCTGTTTGTTCTCTTAGCTCCCTGGCCTGAAGTGTGTTCCTGTTTCTCCTTGATTCATTAGCACTCTAGTGCTATGCAGTGCTCTTTTAAGGAAGCCTGATCTAGACCTCCTAACACAACTCTATCTTCTGTGGCCCTACCCTAGTCTTGATAACCTGAGGGTGTTAATTTTTGTAACTAGTCTGTCCTCCCCATATATTTTATTGAGAGAAAGAGCGCATGTGCATGTGCATGCATGAGCTGGGGAGGGGCAGAGGGAGAGAGAGAATCCCAAGCAGACTCTAGGCCAGTGCAGAGCCCAATGCAGGGTTCTGTTTTACAACCCTGAGATCATGACCTAAGCTGAAATCAAGAGTCAGACACTTAACCAACTGAGCCATCCAGGTGCCCCAATCTGCTTCCCCTATTAATAAGGTCTTGTGGCTATAACATGTACATGCTGTCTTAACTACTGGCTTCTTTAGCCTAACATTAAAATGTGAACTTTCTATGTCCATAAACTTCTGTAACATCCTTTTCAATTACTGCAGACTAAATCATTGTATGGATTTGTCATATATTATTTAGCTAGTTCTTTTTTGTTGGACATTTAGGTTATTTTTAATTTTTTATTGTTATAAAAGATTGCAGTACACATATCTTCTATGATTTCCTGAAAAAAATTTACGGAAGTAGAGTTGCTAGCTCAAAGCACCTCCTGAGGCTCTTTGATAGCCACAACCAGTGTACTTTAAAATGTAGGGGCCACAAGGCTCTCCATAGGCTTTTAAATCATACTTGTAATCAGGGCTCATTGGTTATCAGGAATATAGAGATATTAAACAGGAATGTTTTGATTTGCTGGATTTATACAAGAAGTCCAAGCCTGGAGATTTTCTGTGAATAACAGGCCTAACTAGAGGTGCACTTCCCATGTATGCTCTCCTATAGCAGCTTGCAGGAACATGGGCCACATTAGGGAGCACGCAACTCTTTTGCTTCAATTGGATGCTGACTTGTTATTGTAGACAGGATGAATTTTACTTAAGTTTCAAATCAAACTAATTTCTTGGAAGTGTCATTGATGACACTAAGATTGCCACTAAGATAATGAGTCTAAACTTAAAAGATGAAGCAGAGAAACCAAGAGGAAGAATTTGGAAATCAAGCCTAGTCCTGCTGTAGACATGAATATTTGCACTTCTCAAAATGTGGAGTTCTCTGAAAGAAACTACAATTGTAATTTGATTTTTTTTCTTTCTTCTTTATAGGTATCTCATTCAGTTGCTAAACTTATATTAGTTAATTTCCACTGGCAAGTTGCAGAGATATTGGACAGGTAAGGAGTTTGGGGGAAGAGGTGGCATTGCCTGTAGCTTCTTTCCCTGCCCATCCACCCAGTGGTGATTATTGTTTATGTTTTGGAGTATATCTCTGTAATGTGCATATTATTTATTTAAAACACTGGATCATATTTTATTTCCTTTTTTCCTCGATATATGGAGATCTTTTTTCTGTAATTACATCATATTCTTTCTATCTCAGTTTTTTTTTTTTTTTTTAAGATTTTATTTATTTATTCATGAGAGACCCAGAGAAAGGCAGAGACATAGACAGAGGGAGAAGCAGGCTCCATGCAGGGAGCCCGATGTGGGACTCGATCCCGGGATTCCAGGATCACGCCCTGAGCCAAAGGCAGACACTCAACTGCTGAGACACCCAGGCATCCTTCTACCTCAGTTTTATTGCTGGCTCAGTATTTCATCGTATAGATGTTCCACGCTTTTTCTAAACCCCTGTCTGTTCAGGCTTTTTTTTTTTTTTTTTAAGAATTGATTTATTTATTCATGAGAGACACAGGCAGAGACACAAGTAGAGGGAGAAGCAGGCTCCATCATGCAGGGAGCCCAATCCGGGACTAGATCCCAGGACCCCGGGATCACACCCTGAGCCGAAGGCAGATGCCAAACCGCTGAGCCACCCAGGCATCCCTTGTTCAGTTTTTTTATGCCATTGTGAACTTGTGGTCAGTGCCCTTCTAGATAACAGTTGCCAACATCTCCATTTGTTTCTTTTGAATATATCAAGTGAGGAATGCAACATACTTTTGAATATTACCTTCAGAAAAGATAGGCCAGCTTACCGCCAGAACCAGACTTTTTGAGGCACAGGTTTGGAGTCTTAAGATGTCCTAGAAGTTGTCAGAAGGAGGGATTCATCCTCCCGCTGTGCCTTCTGGGAAGAGTCCCTATGCCCCACCAGAGGCATGTGCTTCTGTCTAGCATAGGATTTCTCATCCTCCGCACCCATGCCATTTTGAGTTAGATAATTCTTTGTTGTAAGGTCACTGTTCTGTGAATTGTAGGAAGTTTGGCAGAATCTCTGGCAGGATCCATTTGAAAAGACGAAATCACAAAAATCAGCAAAAGACAGAACAAACATTTCAGAGAAAAGAAAGCACAAACAGCCATTAACATAAAAAGATGCTCAACCTCCATGATAATCTGGGACACTGAAATTAGCACCCCAAGCCTTTGAAATAAAAAATGCCTCCAGACATTTCCAAATAACCCCTGGAGAACAAAATTGCCACTGGTGAGAATCACCCAGTCACCATCCCTGCCCTTTCATGTACCAGTGAGTCTTCCTTTTTATGGTGTGATCCATTTATTTGCAGAAGAAGGTCATGCCTTTGCTTCTCCAGGCTAAACATAATGAATGGCTGTACCTGCTGGAGCAGCTCAGCCACTCAGGAAGGAGCAAATGTGCTCCTGATTTCACCAACTGCACTCTCACTCTCTATACCCAAGAGACAAGTACATTTAGATAGACTTCTAGGTGAACTTCTGCTGTTTGCACTGCTGTTTCTACTACCCAGAATTCTGGACCCATGTAGGTCCCAGCAGTGGGGTATTTCTCACTGCCCAAACTTGGTAGCCTAACTTGGAAATGGACAAGATAGCTGAAGATACTAAGAATACTAGTGTGAGAAATAGGAATAAAAGCAGTTGAAGGGGGCAGCCCCGGTGCCTCAGCGGTTTAGTACCACCTTCAGTCCAGGGCGTGATCCTGGAAACCCAGGATCAGGTCCCGCATCAGGCTCCCCGCATGGAGCCTGCTCCTCCCTCTGCCTGTGTCTCTGCCTCTCTTTCCCTCTCTCTGTGTGTCTCCCATGAATGAATGAATAAATAAAATCTTTAAAAAAAAAAAAAAGCAGTTGAAGGAGGCATTCTGACTAGGGAGGAGGAATAAGGAAGTCACATATATAAGACATTCTTCCCTGCTTAGATTCTTGCTTTCTGGGTAATGCATTTTCCTAGGTTTTGTGTGACACTTTTATTGCCACATGATAATTATTTTTGTTTTTTTTTTATTTTTTTTTTTAATTTTTATTTATTTTATGATAGTTACACAGAGAGAGAGAGAAAGAGGCAGAGACATAGGCAGAGGGAGAAGCAGGCTCCATGCACCGGGAGCCCGACATGGGACTCGATCCGGGGTCTCCAGAATCGCGCCCTGGGCCAAAGGCAGGCGCCAAACCGCTGCGCCACCCAGGGATCCCAATTATTTTTGTTTTTATTATTTTTAAAGATTATTTATTTTAGGAAGAGTGAAGGGTAGCAGGGGGAAGGGTAGGGGCGGGGCGGATTTCAAGCCGACTCCTCTTGTAGCCTGATGTGATGCTCTGTCCCAGGACCTTGAGTTCATGATCTGGGCCAAGATAAGATCGAGTCGGACACTTAATTGAATGTTAAGTCTGACACTCAACTGAGCCACTCAGGCACCCCTGTTTTTGTTTTTAAATCCATGTATCCCATACTTCATTCCAGAAAGGCATTATTTATTATGAAGTGTTTCTTTTTCAAAAGTGTATGTATGTGTGTACACGTGTGTGATGTGTGTAGGTTTTAAAGAATGATAAAGCAAATATACTTAAGTGTCTACCCAAATAAGAAACCCTCTGACCTTTACTCAAAAGCCTCTGGTGGCAGTTTCTTCCTGGCCACACCCCCTTCCTTCCTCTCCAAAGCGACCAGTATCTTGAATTCAGTATTGATCATTTTCTTACTTATTCTTAAATTATATATCCTTTAGTTTTGTATGGTTTGTGTGGGTTTGTTTTTGTTTTTTGTTTTTAAATTTATTTATTCATGAGAGACAGAGAGAGGCAGAGACGAGACATAGGTCAGGGGGAGAAGCAGGCTCCCTGCAAGGAGCCCGATACAGGACTCCATCCCAGGACCCCAGGATCATGACCTGAGCCGAAGGCAAATGCTCAACCACTGAGCCACCCAGGCGTCCTATGTTTTTGTTTTTTAAGTAGGCTCCTACATGGAGCCCAACATGGGGCTTGAACTTAGGACCCTGAGATCAAGACCTGAGCTGAGATCAAGAGTCAGATGTTTAATCAACTGAGCCATCCAGACAGCCCTAATTTTGTATGTTTTTAGAACTTTACAGACATGGAATTGTGCTGTGTGTGTTCTTCAACTTTAAAATGAACAAGGCCACATTTTATGACATCCTATCCATATTCCTGTCAAAAACCATTTGTGAGTTTTAGTTTTTTTGCTGTTACAAATAATGCAGCTCGGGTAGCCTGAGTGGCTCAGCGATTTAGCGCTGCCTTCAGCCCAGGGCATGATCCTGGAGACCTGGGATCGAGCCTGCTTCTCCCTCTGCCTGTGTCTCTGCCTCTCTTTCTCTCTGTGTCTCTCATGAATAAATAAAATCTTAAAAAAAAAAAATGCAGCTCTGAAAACTCTTGTGCATGACTTCTAGGATCATATAAATTTTCTATGGTTGAATATAGAAAGTAAGGGTGTGTCCCATAGCTTTTACTAAATGGCAAAATGTTTCCAAAGTTATTGTACCACATTACATGACCACCAGTGGTATAGGAGTGTTCCTGATACTGTCAAACTTGAAGTTTTACAATCTGGTTGGTATAAATGGGCATATAATTGTGTCCCCGATTATTATGGAGGTTGAGCATCTTTTCATGTTAGTGGCCATTTGTGCTTTCTTTCTTGTGCAATGCTTGTTCTGTCTTTACCATTTTTTAATTGTCTTTCCAATGGGCTTGTCTTTTCGAATGGACTTGTAGGAAGTTTTATTTATTCTGAATATCAGCCTTTTGTCAGTTATATGTGTATTGAATTATCTTCCATTTATACCGTGGCTTTTCACTTTATGGTGTGTTCTGATGAACTGAACTTCTTAAATGTAACATAATTTGTCAGTTTTCCTTTATGCTTTGCATTTTTTAAAGTTTTTGCCCAACATGGTCCTTAAACCCATAACCCCCAAATCAATAGTCGCATACTCTACCAACTGAGCCCACCAGGTGCCCCTGCATTTTCTTTGTCTTAATATATCATTCCCTGTTCCAAAAATACAAAGATTATTTATTTGCCTGTGTTCCCAGAAAGGAATTGAAAACAGATATTGTCCTTCATAAGTATTTTTCTTACAGTTTGGTGTCTTTGAAGCAGGGTTATTATTCTCATACCAATTGAGAGCTAAAAAATCGAAAGAGAAAAAAGTATTTATACTAAAGTAAGAGGGAGCTTGGTTCTGTCAAAAGGAAGTTAGAGACAAAGACACTTTAGTATAACCACGGCACTTGTTGGTTCCTTCTGGTTTTGTTCAGAGGTTAAAATGTTAGTCTTCATTTCTGAATCCCTTTATTTCTGCTTTTTGTTTTGTAGATACAAGTCTAATTCTGCTCAGCTGCTCGTTGAGGCTCGAGTTCAGCCCAGTCCCTCGAAACATGTGAGTGTCTCCTACTTGAGCAAGGCTTCTGATACACATGGTTTTTGCTGTGGCTTATGGTGTTATTGACAACTGTCTTTCTGTGTTTATAGTACAACATGCCTGAGGTTTTTGTTAAATATGGGCCTAGGGATCCCTGGGTGGCGCAGCGGTTTGGCGCCTGCCTTTGGCCCGGGGCGCGATCCTGGAGACCCGGGATCGAATCCCACATCGGGTTCCCGGTGCATGGAGCCTGCTTCTCCCTCTGCCTGTGTCTCTGCCTCTCTCGCTCTCTCTGTATGACTATCGTAAAAAAAAAAAAAAAAATATGGGCCTAAATCTTACATTTCCATTATAGTTTAAAGAGTTTCCTTGTGGATGAAGAATAAAATCCTTGCCAGTCCTGGGACCCTTTTCAGCCTCACCTTCCTCTTTACACTTACACCCTATACTCCATTTCTGTTAGGTTCCTTGGTATTCCCAAGCTTACTGCATGCTTCTTTGACTCTGCTTGTGCCATCCCTGGTCTGGAATGTCCAGATCCTGTCCCTGTCTTTGCTTGTGGGAATGGAACTCACCTTTAAAGACCCACATCAAGCTGTCTCTCACAAAGCCTGTGATCTCTCCTCTCCAGACACCTCTAGTTAGATCTTGAAATCTTTACACGTGTGATATAGCAATTCACTCATCTTTTCAGCTCCCCTACCAGACTGTGTGTGCTTAAGAATAGGAACCATATCTTATAGTGCATAGCAATTTCCTATGTATGTAGGAATTTAACAAACATCTGTCAAGTGAGTAAGGGCCATGTCCTCACTCTTCAGGAGGGAGAATTGGGGCTCCAATTACCACATAACTTCCATAGCTCTAAAATAAATTTATTATTAAAACAAAACAAAACAGGGGATCCCTGGGTGGCGCAGCGGTTTGGCGCCTGCCTTTGGCCCAGGGCGCGATCCTGGAGACCCGGGATCGAATCCCACGTCGGGCTCCCGGTGCATGGAGCCTGCTTCTCCCTCTGCCTGTGTCTCTGCCTCTCTCTCTCTCTGTGACTATCATAAATAAATAAAAATTAAAAAAAAATTAAAAAAAAACAAAACAAAACAAAACTTCCATAGCTCTGAGGAGAACATTTCCAGGGCATACTGGATAAACATGAAAATACAGCGCTTTTCCTTCAGTTGTTTTTTGTATTCCCAATGAACTAACTAGAACCTAATGTAAACCTGTTGTGGACTTCTCCATCAGTTTGTGTCTTGGATCAGGGGCCCCATGTTGTCTTTGTTTACCAGTTATTATAGCATGGCATGATTTCTGAAGTTCAAGCTTTGCAGTTATTTTCCCACACTCAAAAGGTTTCTTTCCTAGTAGAAGCCTTCCTCGTCCCTCTAAATTAATTGTATGTGACATCTCTGCAGTGTGTTAAGGATGAGTTGTGACTTAGTAAAAAACTGTAATATTTTGTATTTTGAGCATGTCCATGTGGGAAAAGTGCACTATCTTTGACAAGTAAACTTGCAGTGTGGGCTTGTTAGAAGCTTCACATGCTTAGCTGAGCCTCTGAAGAACCTCTGTAGTACTTACTGAGGGCAGCTCTTTACACTGAATGGGGCAATTTATAAACAAAACCCTGTAGCATCTAAAAGCAGAAGTTGGACTGAATGACCTCCAAGGACTTTGGCAATTTGGAAATCCTGAGCATTTTATTTTATTTTATTTTTATTTTTATTTTATTTTATTTTATTTTATTTTATTTTATTTTATTTTATTTATATTTATTTGTTTGTTTGTTTATTTATTTATTTATTAATCCTGAGCTTTTTAGCCTGGCATTATAAACTACTGTAAGTCCTTTCAGCCTTCCTTTGCCTTTCTGAATCCTAGTGATTGTGCAAGCCCAGCTCATGTGCCACCTCCTTCAGGAAGCCTTCTTGATCTGTGCTTTATGTTCAGAACTTTTAGAACCCACAGAGCCCACACATTGCAGTTGAGTTCTGACACTTGTTGCAGAGTCAGTTTTACCTACCATGCACCTAGCTGCATGTGGCACCCCTATAGCCTCCCAGGATCTGAAGACTCCTCGTTACTCATTTGGCTCTGCCTCTCCCCAGGTTCCCACGGCCCACCCCCCTCACCACTGCGCAGTGTGTATGCAGTTTGTACGGAAGGAAAACCTACTTTCTCTGGCCTGTCAGCACCAGTTTTGCCGTAGCTGCTGGGAGCAGCACTGCTCAGTACTTGTCAAGGACGGCGTGGGTGTGGGTAAGTCTGCTGCAGAAATTGTAAAAGGCTGGCATGAAGTATTTATCTTCAAGTTTGTCCTTGTGGGTACTCAGGTCAAGTGTGTGTTTTCTTTTGAGCCAGATTAGGGTTTTTATTGTCAGAACCATTAGTTTCCAAACACATCAGGCTGAACAATGACAAAGTTTTCCCTAATCCTGAGCAAAATGAGAGGATTAAGGCTTTTGTTTGGGCATATATGTAAATGTTGGTGTGCATGCAAGGTGAAATTTTGAGAGAACTGTCCTATTAAGCTGCCTACCCTATCTTGATGCCCCAAGCAGTAGCCATCATTCAGAAACACTCAAAAATTGCTGTTGTTTAAAGTAACATAACACAAATCAGAGATTGTTTGTCAATCTTTGACTTGATGGTATCAGAACTCAATTAGCCTCTGATTAATGGTATCTACAGAATCTCATTGTGTTGGTTAGTAATCACTTGCACATAATATTAAATATCACAAAATGAAACTGTTAGTCAAGAACCGTATACGAATCTTTTTTTTTTTTTTAATTAAGCTCTGTGCCCGGGGCGGGGGGGGGGGGGCTTGAACTCCCATCCCTGAGGTCAAGAATCACCTACCTGTTCTACCAACTGAGACAACCAGGTGCCCCAAGAACCGTATAGGATTTTTTGGATGCTACTGCTTTTTCAGTGTCTATTTGTGATATATATGTAATTTGAGGTAAATTCCAGTTGTGTCCACTCCAAATATACTCATTTTTCTCTCTCTTTTTTTTCTTAAATAAATTCTGTGGCTTCACAGGTTTCCTGTGTGGAATCTTGAATTTGTTGGTGGAACTCAGTGGGAAAATATATATTGTTGTGTCTTCTGCAGTGCAGTTATCCATCATGTTGTCTTTGTTCAACAGGAGTCTCTTGTATGGCTCAGGACTGCCCACTCCGAACTCCAGAGGACTTTGTATTTCCATTGCTGCCGAATGAAGAATTGAGAGACAAATACAGGCGCTACCTCTTTAGGGACTACGTGGAGGTATGACCAGCCCCTGTCGTTGCATGTCTGTTTTCCTGAGCCTCCTTTCCATCACATGTTCACCACAGTAACTTTGTAGATGAGCCTGCCATTAGGTGCTATAATTTGAAGAAAGAGCTCTGGCTTTTACAAAGTGGAGAAGCCACTAGAGTGGTAGTGAAGAACACAGGCCTTGGAGTCAGACCGACATGACGTGAATCCCAGGTCTGTTACTTCCTCACTGTATAGGCTTCCACCCATTATTGTACTTCTCTGAGCCTTGGTTTTCTCTTGGAGAATGGTCTGCCTTCCTCACCTTCTTCTCAGTTGCTTAAATAAGCTACTGTATGTCAGGGGCTGAACACTAGTCAGGGCTATGTCAGGGCTGTTTGGTTTACTGATTTAGAAAGCACAGAGAAGGGGTATTGCTTCTTGTGCAGCATGAAAACTTGCCCGTGATTCCAGCATGGTCAGCTTTGGATTCCCCCTCCTCTATTGGGCTCCAAGCTCAGGCTTGCTGCCCCCATGCAATGTAGTTCTCATCTTTATTACTTGAACCTCAGCTTGTAAGATTATCTGATGGGCTGGGTCTTCTCATGCATGAGCTGTAGGATAACATTCCCTTGTTCCCTGGGCTGCTTGCTGCCTTTGGTTTATGCGTGAGGGTCACTGAGCCTCTCAGGGCTTTTGTTTTTAGGTAAAATTAGTGTGTAACATTAAATTAGTTTCAGGTATACAGCATAATAATTCAATATTTTATATGCTACAGAGCGATCACAATCTAATTACCACCTGTCACCCTATAATAGATCCCTTTCACCCATTTCACCCACCCCATAACCCCCTTCCCCTTCCATTCCCTATATTTTTGAGTTTTGTTTGTTCATTTTGTTTCTTAGATTCTGCACAGAAGTGAAATCATATGATATTTCTCTTTCTCAGTCTTAATTTCACTTAAATAATACTTTCAAAGCATGGGTGATTGGGCTGTGTTCCTTTCTAGACCTGGTGTTTGTGCGTTCATCTCACAGACACAGTTCTGTACTCCATTTTATCATCTACCCTTAGATCATTCTAGTGAGTTACTACCTAGTTTTGGCTAAACATTCATACGTCTTCAGTATCTGCCTAATGCTATCGTTTGTGACATCCTTTCTGAATTCCTGTAGCCCCTTGATAGAAGTCATCGGCTGGAAGGACAGAAGGTGTTCGAGCTCTCAGGGAAGTCTGATTTGGAAGCAGTGACTAGGGGATGTCCTCATTGTGTCCCCTTGGTGTGTTCACAGAGTCATTACCAGCTCCAGCTGTGCCCTGGTGCAGACTGCCCTATGGTTATTCGGGTACAGGAGCCTAGAGCTCGCCGAGTACAGTGCAATCGGTGCAACGAGGTGTTCTGGTAAGAGTGGGTGAGAGTGCTCAGCAGCCCTGGGCTCCTGCTTTGCCCTTCAAAGTACCACTGGTGTTGCTATAGATGAGGGTGGGGCTGGGAGAGGAGAGACTGGGCTTTGAGAGCCTAAACTGCAGCTCTGCTCCAAGTGGGCAGGGTATGTATCCAGCATCTCCTGTTCCATGGGATGTTTGATAATGCTCAGTCTGGAAACAAAAAAGTAGCACAGGTTCTTGGAGAATGTGCTATAATTTATGCTAGTGAGACTCATGGCACAGAGATTTGTCTATGTGGTTGTGTATGTGCCTGCACAGATAATCACATATTGCTGTGTATGAAAGCTCAACCTTCAGTGTTTGACTCTTTCTCCATCTTGGCCTTAATAGGCTAATTTTATAGCTCTATAATTCGTAAAGGTAGTTTACATCTACTTGGGGTTTACTCCATTCAGTAGATATTGGGGATAGCTAAAGTGTACTGAAGGCTTACCATGGGAAAGACACTATTCTCATCATTTTACCTTCATTGTCACAAATGTATACAATTGATACTGTTACCCTTATGTTATAAGGGAGGAAATGGAGATGCAAAGCAATGATAGAGCCATAATGTAGGTCCACATCTGTGTCTGTCCCTAATCATGCCTCCCTAGAAGATTCACGGTGGGGATTCAGAGAAACTACATGAAAATGTGGTTGTGTGTGTGTGTGTGTGTGTGTATGTGTGTATGTGTGTGTTCTTGCCTTTAAGACATTGTTGAGGGAGTCTCTGGCTTACCAAAGATGAAGAACCACTAACATAAGGGCGCCTGGGTGGCTCAGTCAGTTAAGCATCCAACTCTTTTTTTTTTTTTTTAAGAATTTATTTATTCATGAGAGACACAGAAAGGCAGAGATACAGTCAGAGGGGGAAGCAGGCTCCTCGCAGGGAGCACGATGCGGGACTCAATCTTGGGTCTCCAGGAACCATGCCCTGGGCTGAAGGCAGGCGGTAAACTACTGAGCTACCCAGGGATCCCCAGCATCCAACTCTTGATCTCAGCTCTTGTCTAAGAAAAAAAAAAAAAAAAACACTAGTTCTCTCCTTCTTTTGTGTCCCTGTTTGCTTGAGAGCCTTTACTAGCCAGAGGTTGTGTTCGCTTGGACAAAAGAGAAATTAAAAACATGGAAGCCTAGCCCAGTGAGTGTTGGAGTGTTTTTCTTTTCTAATTTTAAGTTTCAGGCATTGTCAGATATATCATTCCCCTGCAAACTGAACAGATTCTGTCATGTGTACATACTGTGTGCATCTGGTTGGGAGCTAGTCAAGGCTCCCAGAAAGTGGATCTCAGTTCTGCCTTGGGTTTGAGCTGAGTTATCGTCTCAGAGCACCTCACTATGCCCTTTAAGAGGCTGGACTCTGAATTTGACATCTTTTCAGAGAAGGTTGACACCACAGAAAATATTTAAGATGGAATCATTTTATTTGGGTTTATTAAGAGTATGTCTTAGAAATGCTTAGATTGAAGAGAAATTCATGCAGTATTTCAGTATAACCCTGGGTAAGTAAAGATCCCAAAGGCCTTGAGAGGTGACTGAACATCTTTGAAAAGCTCTAATTCAGGATCTGTTGGCTTGGACAGAAGGAAAATTGAAAACATGGGACCCTGACCTCACAATTATTTGAATCTTTTTCTTTTCTGGTTTTTAAGTTTCAAGTGTCGTCAGATGTATCACGCCCCCACAGACTGCGCCACAATCCGGAAATGGCTCACGAAGTGTGCAGACGACTCTGAAACAGCCAACTACATTAGTGCTCACACTAAAGACGTAAGGACTGTATCTTACCTGTCATGGATCTGCCCTCCTTAATGCTGCCTAGGGCCTTGCCTGGGAGGCTGGCCATTTGAGAGCAGAACACCCAGGGCCCCAGGGCCCTTGCTGGAGGCTGCAGACCCTTGCCCAGACTTGGCAGAGTTTGCAACGGACCATCATAGTATGTGTGGGGTGCATTTATTTTAATAAAATACTGAATTGCCTGATAAAGTTTGACCTATAGAGTGACTAATTAGAAGAAAACCAGGTGTTTTTTAATATCTCCTGGGCTTTAACAGCCCTGGGAGGGAGGTGGTTGATAGCAACATATAGTAAAGAGCAGGGCTCTGATGCAAGCCCAGGCATGCCCAGTTCTCATTCTGAAACTTGCCATGGGAAAGCATGGCCTTCAGCCCCTTGAGCCCCAGGTGACTCAGCACCTACCCTGTGCCAGTCATGTGCTGAGTTGCTGCACTCACAGCAGACCTGTGACCGTGCCCTCATTAAACATAGTCTGCTTCACAGCAGTGGGAGAGGAAAGTGTCAGCTGGTCTCTGCATTGCTGCCTGGGTTGTGGCATCTTTTAGATGAGAGCAAGTAAGCTTTAGAAGTTGTTTCCTTGCCCTGTTGTGGAAGCAGAAGTCCCGGGAAGCTGAGCAGGACTTAGTCCAGTGTGGCAGCTCTTGTGTTGCTTTGGCATTCTTCCCAAGCAGGAAGGCTTTGTGCTGACTCAGCTTGTGCTTAATCTGAGCAGCCTCGTGGCAGAGACAGATGGTGGAAGACTTAGTGGGGCTCAGCCAGTACTTGGAGTGTTTCAGAGCCAAACGTGCTGACCTCATTTCCTTGAATTGCTGTTCCAGCCTCAGCGACCCGCCACATTTAAGTGAGATGCTCCTTCCCAGAAGGGCTCGCACGATGAGCTACTGGGCACGGGTGCCAGGAGCTTTGTGTAATTTGTCTTAGAACCAGCCTGGTGGTGCGTGAGCCTAACGGCGCCCTTCTGTCTCCTCAGTGTCCCAAGTGCAACATCTGCATTGAGAAGAATGGAGGCTGTAATCACATGGTGAGCAGAAGCCTGTACTCTTTGCATATGTGCCATGGAGCCTTTGGTCAGCGTGCCCTTAACATGTTCTCTTTTGTTTCCCTCTGACAGCAATGCTCCAAGTGTAAACACGGTGAGTCCCAGGCGTGGTGCAGAAGGCCCAGTGGCACAGTCTGCGTTTCTTGTGCAATGGGTCTCCAGTGCTCATTTACTGAGTGCTTTTATGGTGAAGTGACAAAGGGCAGCCTTAGTCACTTAAAATAACCAGTCTAAAGCGGCTCTTGATTTTTTATTTACTCCTTTCTTCTGGTGCCTCCTGCCATCTTGCTGGCACATATAGTCAGAAGTCAAGATTGGTATGACTCTTAGACCTTCATGATCCTCAGTCATCCAAGAAGATCTTAGTATGTTCTTTTTATTTTTTGCAAAGGCAGGTAAGTGGTGTTGGACTTATCTGTGCTACCTTACAGATACCTTTTAGAGCAGGCTGTTTTATTGGAGGGAGCAACAGAAGAGTCTTCCTTGGAGGTTTTTTTTTTTTTTCCCCATGGAGGTTTTTACAAAGTTTCCATAAGGGCTTTTGATTTGGCCTTTTAGGTCTCATTCATCCATTGAGGGAGCTTACATAGAACCTATTGGTTTTACTTTGCTTCCTGCCAGATGAAGTAAAGAAATAAAACTCCTTCAGGTAGAAAGTATGTCCAAATAGGTCTCTTACACAGCAGTTTCAATGCTGACCAGGAGGCCCTGAGGGTATCTCTTTGTAAGGGTCCATCTAATGCTATTCCTGTGTTTTCCCAGGAAACACACTGTGATCAGAGTGGACATGGCAAGGCATTAGAAGAGAACAGTGACTGTGAAGTATAGAATGAAGATAGGCTGCTGGTAGTGGCATATTTCCTCAGTGGTATCCTACTCTGTCGTTGTGTGTTTAAGTGACAGGGATGTGTATCATCCACTTAGAACAGTGCATAAGACTTTAATACGGTTTAAAGAGAAATGCCAAGTGAACACCCCAGTACCCATCACATTCCTAGTACCCAAGAAGTCCTCTGTGTGTCCCTCCCCACAGTCTCTCCGTCCTTCACCACCCAGAGTTAGTTGCCATCCCTTGCATTGCTGCATAGTTTGACCACCTCTACCGGCAACCCTAAGCAGTGTAGTAGTAGTTAATTTTTTTTTAAAGATTTTATTTGTTTATTTATTCATGAGAGATGCAGTGAGAGAGAGGCAGAGACACAGGCAGAGGGAGAAGCAGGCCCCATGCAGGGAGCCTGATATGGGACTCGATCCCAGGTCCCCAGGATCAGGCCCTGGGCTAAAGGCAGTGCTAAACCACTGAGCCACCAGGGCTGCCCTGTAGTAGTATTTAAGACAGTAAAAAGGCCCACCTCCTCGATTAAGGAAATAGCCAGTATTGCTGCTGTTCAGTGAAGGTTCCGAGAAGAAAAGTGAACAACCTCTGAGTCTCTGGGTCTTGCTTTAGCATCCCCCAAGTTTTGTAAGAGATCCTTTGGAGAAGTCTGAGCCAACTTGAATCCTGGGAAATAGGGTTTACTCGCTGTCAGAGACAGGATATAGATCTGGCCATCTAACAGAACTGTGGTTGGCCTTTCTAGTAATTGTTAGATGTTGAATGTTGAGTGGATCTTTACTTTTTCTCTTTCCTTCCTCAGTATAGAAGTAGGCTCATAATTTTGAGTAGGAACTCTTGGTAGCAGTTGATTTTATAGATGTGTTCTTTTAAAAAAAATGACAAAATTTTTTTAAATTAAAAAATGACAAAATAGGGGAAAGCCTTTATTCTCAGCTTCATGTACAAAATCTTCTTAGGACAGATGTCTTGAGGGTAGGAGGTAGTCAGGAGGGCAGACGTGTTTTGGACAACCAGATGGGCCTCATTGGACAGGTGTCTGCTTCTCTCAATGGCATTGACCAGCAGCCTGATACGGTCAGCATCTGTCTGTGTTGGGTTGAAAAGGTACCAAGCTCATGGAACTGAGAATTCCCGCTGGCTATTGTTCATATTGGCAAGGAAAGGCTACAGGGACAAAGGGATGAGGTGCACATTCCTTCTGAAAAGAGACACTCTTAAATTAAGCGTTCTGGTCAAGTGACAACCCCACTTCACTCCCCTTTCACAGGATCTGTCTGTCCCACTGCTTTGCCTTTGGAGGAATGTGGGCTTATCTTGTGGGTATAAATTTCTCTTTCTCTATTCTTTGCAGACTTTTGCTGGATGTGTCTAGGAGATTGGAAGACCCATGGCAGCGAGTACTATGAGTGCAGTCGGTACAAGGAGAACCCCGACATTGTCAACCAGAGCCAGCAAGCCCAGGCCAGGGAGGCCCTCAAGAAGTACTTGTTCTACTTTGAGAGGGTAGGCATCTTTTCCTGCAGCTGCTCCTCAGGGATGGGCTTCTTCCAGCTGGCCTGCTGAGGTAGAAGTCCCAGACTAGTGTGCCAGTATGTACACAACAGAAGTCAGGAAAAGTGGATTCTGCAGTGGACCTGAGTGATGCTTCCATAAATGTGGCTTTTGGGTTCTACAGGGCAAGCCACGACCAACAAAGCTCTTTGAATGGTGGGTTGAAGGACAATGAGGGGGCCATCAGATAGTCTTTTTCCATTGGGTACCATCTTAATCAGATTTAGAGGGCAGTTCCTCTCAGGAAGACCTTTCAGAAGCCCACAGAGTACAGCACATTTGGTTTCTTTTCTTTAAGATTTTGTTTATTCATGAGAGACAGAGAAAGGCAGAGACATAGGCAGAGGGAGAAGCAGGCTTCCCACAAGGAGCCCGATGTGGGACTCGATCTCAGACCCCGGGATCACGCCCTGAGCCAAAGGCAGACGCTCAACCACTGAGCCACCCTGGCATCTCACACACAATAGACCAGTGGGTACCTAACTTTGTTTAGTCCTCAGGGCTGAAGCCCTATTGCCTTAGATGGTAGAGTGATCTGGCAGGCAAGCAGCTGCTCAGGACAGGGTTAGTAGTGTGGGCTGAGGAAGTCTCCCCCGTCCTGGGGGACTGAGTCTGAGTGGCTCAGTCCATTGGGTGGCCGACTTGTGATTTCAGCTCGGGTCATGATCTCAAGAGTCCTGGGATGGGCCTACGTCAGGCTCCACGCTCAAGAGGGAGTCTGCTTCTCTCTCTCTCTCCGCCTCGCACGCTCTCTTGCTCTCTCTGTCTCAAATAAATATTTTATTTTTTTTATTTTTTTTAAATTTATTTATTTATGATAGAGAGAGAGAGAGAGAGAGAGAGAGAGAGAGAGAGGCAGAGACACAGGCAGAGGGAGAAGCAGGCTCCATGCACCGGGAGCCCGATGTGGGATTCGATCCCGGGTCTCCAGGATCTCGCCCTGGGCCAAAGGCAGGTGTCAAACCGCTGCGCCACCCAGGGATCTCTCAAATAAATATTTTAAAAAGAAAAAGTCCTCCTGCACTCTCAAGGACATACAGTCCCCATAAGTTAGATGAAGCTGTGGCCATGCTGTGCCAACCAAGGTGTCTATTCTGAACTTCTGTCTGGACTTGTGCTCCTTCTCTGTACCCTGTAGTGGGAAAACCACAACAAGAGCTTGCAGCTGGAGGCACAGACATACCAGCGGATACATGAGAAGATTCAGGAGAGGGTCATGAATAATCTGGGGACATGGATCGACTGGCAGTACCTACAGAATGCTGCCAAGCTCTTGGCTAAGGTTTGTACCATGTCACTCCTCTGGTCCCTGGCCCTGATAGGCCCAGATATCTGAGGATGGGAGGCACTATAGGGGGCAAGAGAACACAACACTTTGTGTGGCTCTGCATGCTTCTGCTTCGAGGTTTGTATTTCCCTGGGCTGTGACCACTGAGGACCCAGTCTGCTGCTGGCTGCCAGGGGATTTCCAAGAAAACTATTCCACTACCTCAGGGAAGGAACTGCAGGGAAATCTAGAGCCCTTTTCTTCTTTTGTCCCATCCATGCCTCACTCAGGAGAAACTAAGATTGTCTTTGGACAAGTATTGAGATAGATGTATGGACTCTGATGTCCAACTTGAGGGAAGAGCCATTGAGGCAGGTGCTGGTAATAAATGAGTTTGAAAAAGGAACTGTGGGTGTTCTGTGACCATTTATGTTTCAGCTTTTCCCATCTTGTCCCTCAATTCATCCTGGGGCGTGGCCTCATCTCTTTTGAGCCTATACCTATAGAGCCAGGCTAACTTGCATGGTTGGGTAAGAATTGCAAAAGCCACCTGAGATGTGTTCAGGTTAGGTTCACTCGTGCAGGTGCCTTCTCTCTTCTATTGTAGTGCCGATACACCCTGCAGTACACTTATCCATATGCGTACTACATGGAGTCTGGACCCAGGAAGAAGCTGGTAAGGCCAAGCAATCCTCCTCTCTGCCCTCTTAGCTTCAGAGGTAGCCTTGTCTCCCAGCACTTCCCAGGAGAGTGGGGACCAGACCCTGGTTATTGGGAGGCCAGAACAAAACTATCAGTTTTAAAAGTTCAGTTCTCCTGGGGCTGAAATGAGTGGCTCTTAATTTTGGCTCAGGTCATGGTCTCAGGGTCGTGAAATCGAGCCCTGCTCATGTGAGCTCTCTCTCTTTAAAAAAAAAAAAAAAGAAAAGAAAAGAAAAAAAGTTCCCTTCTAAGCATCTCTAAAATACACCTCAGAGCCTGGCATTTGTTTAATATTAAGGCAGATAGACCAAAGCCCCTGAATGGCCATAGTTATAGGGCGACTGGTTAAAAAGCTCTGTGGCCACTTAGAAGTCCAGCACCCGTGGTTTTGGAGGGACCCAGCATATGCATTCCTAAATTTTAGTGGACTTTTTAACATCTTTGTTTAATTCTTTATCTTAGATATGGGCTGTTGGCCCTGATTATAAAGTAATTCATATTATTGTTTAAATGTTGAAGAACAAAGAAAAACATTGACATCATCCATAACCTCACCAGAAAGACATGGCCACTGTTAGCATTTTTCTGCCTTTTAACATTATTCCTATGTTTAATGTTAATTATATGCATGATATTCTTTTATTGTTGCAGTGGTCCTTATTTACCAGATTAGTAAATACCTTTTTTAAAAAAAAAAAAAGGATTTATTTATTTATTCATGAGAGACACAGAGAGAGAGAGGCAGAGGCACAGGCAGAGGGAGAAGCAGGCTCCATGCAGGGAGCCTGACGTGGGACTCTATCCTAGGTCTCCAGGATCAGGCCCTGGGCTGAAGGCGGTGCTAAACCGCTGAGCCACCCGGGCTCCCTAGTAAATACCATTTTTAAAAAGTACATAAGTATTTCATTATATGGTTATACCATCAGCTGGGGCATTCATTGTTTCTCTTTTGCATTATTATAAATAAGATATTGAGAAACATTTTGTGTATAATTGTACAATGGATGTACAATTACTAAGTCAAGTGGTTTGAATATTTTTAAGACTTGATTTTCAAAAGGGCTGAACAAATGAAATATTCAGTGAATACCAGGTCTGTGAATATACTCTCTGACTAGTTTTCACAGCAACTATTTCACTGTATGTTAGGAATATTGTCTTCAGTGGCTGAAATTTTTCACCTTTTTTGGGGGGTGAGTTTGGCTGTACCCCCAAGTGACTGTACTCTTCAAGATGCCTTTTGATTGGGTTCTGGCTCTGGCTCCAGGAACTAGCACTGCTCTCTTAGGACAGTCTCAGGGTTGTCTGTAGCTCATGCGAGCCTGAGGTGCTGCGTCTGCCCCTCCCATCTGCAGGCCCTGCCCCGGCTGCAGCCCCTCTCCTTTTGACCCTCCTGCTCTGCCCATACAGTTTGAATACCAGCAGGCTCAGCTGGAGGCTGAGATCGAAAACCTGTCATGGAAAGTGGAGCGTGCAGACAGCTATGACAGAGGGGTAAGTGCTTGCCCCCTTCTTGGTCCCTCTGTTGCAGGCCAGGGAGGACTGGCATGTGAACAGAGGACAGGGTCGTTATGAGCATGTGGACTGGAAGCTGCTGTGGAGAAGGGTGGGAAGGGCAGTGCCTCTGATCCCTCGAAGCCCCTGATGTCGTGGGTGTGGCTGTGGCCGCTCCATGCTCTTGGGGACTGGGTCATGCAAGCACCATCTTGCTTCCCTGGTGCAGGACTTAGAGAACCAGATGCATATAGCAGAGCAACGGAGGAGAACCCTGCTGAAGGATTTCCATGACACCTAGATTGGGACTTGGACGTGCTGGAGTGAGGACGATGTGGCTGCGAGGCCTCCCGGCTGCTGAACTGCATGCTGCAGGCTCTGCCTTTCACCACCTCAGGCAACAGCCAGGGCCCCACTCCTGACAGACACTGGCCACACACCTCTTAGTCCATTTCTGTTTTCTTCTCATCTTTTCGCTTTTTGTTTCTACCAGGGTAGAGGCCATGTTGAGTTGGCCTCTTTTCAGGGCCTTTAATTCCCCCTGGATGGTTGTTGGGAGGGAGGGAAAGTTTTTTCTGAATGACTATTAATAGTATTAGATCATTACAACTTATGTAATTTTCAAAGGTTGTATAATTCTACAAAAAAAAAAAAAGGCAAACCATAGACTTACACAGAACCCTTTTTAAAAATAAATTGGCATTGGAGTGTTTTACCCTCTAGCTATTTTACTTAGAATGTAACATATGCTGCCTGCCCACCCTGCCTCAGAATGTCTCCTGCAAGAGGGCCCAGGGTGGTGGTCTCTGTTTTCCAGACTCTCATGTGTTTGGCTGCAGCTGGTGTCTCAAGGGAAGAGTGTGGGTAGCAGACAGTAGGGAACTGAGTTGGCCTGTGTAATGGGCATGGAGCACAGGGAATCGCAACATGCTTTCTGCCTGGTTCTTTGGGAGCCATTTGTGATCAGGTGCATCTGCCTTACCTTGAAGTGAGGATGTAATACAGAAAAGGGCCTTGTCACAAAGTGGTGTTGTGTCCGATGGCACTGTGTGTCTGTGGGCTCATCTTTCTTTCAGGTTTACCCAGGTCTGGCTACTGAGACCAGAGCCCATGGCAGAGCATATGTAGGTTTGTGGCCCTCCAGACCAGGGGACATGAGTTCAGCAGTGTTTTCTTTTGTCTCCTAAAAATAGAGATCTACTTTTAAAGGGAATTATTTCCCAAAATAAATTTGTTTTACCTTGGTCCCTGCTTTTGTGCCAGTGTTCCAGTGATGTAACTAACTAGGTTCACACACACACCTATCCATACCTAACATGGTCCTGCTACACTGTTCTCTGGTGAACTTCAGGGTCAAAGTTCAGCATGGCCCTCCCAAGGGCACAGGTCTTCTTGGCTCAGGGGCCTTGTTTGCACAAGTAGTTTTCATGTTATCTGGAATGTGTTCTGTGGTTGCTCTGGGGGCTGGGTGCTCTTGCCCCTGCCTGGCTCTAGCTGTTGGAGGACATCATCTCTGGGGTCTGGGAGTCTGAGGCCAGGAGGGTCCTTGGTCTGTGGTCCCAGCTACTATGCTAGAAGGGCTGACCAGGGGAGAGGGCCAGGTTTTGCATAGTTGAGTGCAAAGAAACAAGTAGTTTGGTGATATCCTGCCTGTTCTGAACCTGGTCCTGTGGGCCTTTTAAAAGTTATATCTGTGATTATTGGGGCTTTTGTGGCTTTGTTCATTGCCTCCATTCTGAGGCTAGCAGAGCTGTCTGTACCCAGTAGGGCCTCCTTGACCTCCTGAAAGAGTTGTTTGGGAGGTCTTGTGAATATTATGTCGGAAATTCTTTGATGTTCAGACATTTTCACCTCAGTCAGCAATTTCCTGGGTACCCTGTTAGCTATAAACTGAATCACTCTTGAAGACACAGGACAGCTGTGATTCTTGGGGTTGTGGGGTACACAGCTGGCTGCAGGCTCCCTGCCTCCACCCCACCACCCAGGTTTTGTCTCTTCCTGTCATCTGCAAGGGAGGGACTGTGGAGTGGAGTGGGAGAACAAGTTAGGAGTGCAGTGAATGGAACAGCAGGGAGCTCAGTGAAGGAGGATCCTGGCATCTGGAGCCTTTACCTCTCTATCTACTCCTTTCAGTGTCACCACCATGGCAGAGGCGGTGCAGCTCTGCGCCTTAAGTCACACCCTGGGCATCCCTGGGCATTTTTTGGACTGCATAGCTACCACATAGTGCACTTGTTCCCAGCTGTGGCCCCGAGCACTGGAGCTGTAGGAGGTTCTGTGCCCAGACTGTGGCCTGCAGCCCTTGACCTGTGGAGAACCTTTTGTGCCCCCGTGGCTATCCTTCGCCAGCATCATCAGGAAGATGGGAAAGGTCAGGCAGAGGTTTCTGCCCTACAAAGGATAGAAGATAAAGGAAGGCACAATGTTTTCATGAATTTACCATATATCTTTGTTTTCTTCAAAGAAAAAGTTGAGGCAACGTCATCTGCTCAATGTTGAGTGGTTTATTCAAAATAAAGTTTCTGATTATAAAGTTGCGTAGAGTCTTTCTTCCAAATTACCCCCTGAGCCTACACCCCAAGGGATTCTGGCCGGTGAGTACCAAATGAGGGCCTTCCTGGTGATCAGCCCCCTCCTCTAGAGAGCTGTGAAGGTCCCACTGAGACCCTCTGTTCTGCCTTTCTTTGGCTTTCTGAGGGCACCTGCGGAGGGAAGTGGAATATCCTGGCAGTTTTTGCTTTCCTCTCCCTCCCTGGGTTGCACGGCGTAACCATTCCCCCCACCACAAATAGATCCTGAGATAGTGGCGGAATAAATCCCCCCTGGGTCCTTCCAAAGCAGATGTGAACGCCTAGTGTGGGGGGGTGGCTTCAGAGGGGCTCTGGAGTTACAAGGATAGGACTCTAGACAGAAGCCTGAGTGTATAGAGTTTAATCCCAAGGATTGAGGACAGGAAATGGGAGTTTGGGTTCTTTTTTTTCTTTTTTTTTCTTTTTTTAGATTTTATTTATTCATGAGAGGCAGAGAGACACAGACAGGGAGAATCAGGCTCCATAGGGAGCCCGACATGGGACTTGATCCCCCAACTCCAGGATCACACCCTGAGCAGAAGGCAGACGTGCTTAACCGCTGAGCCACCCAGGCGTCCCAAGGGAGTTTGGGTTCTGATTGAGGGGGTCCACATTTGTGGTGGCAGCAACTTCAGTGATCGCTCAGGAGTGAAGGCTTTAAAGCTCTGGGAAGTATGTCTGGGGCCAGCAAGGTGAAAGAGGCCCTAGATACTACCAGTCTGAACTCCACAGCTGCTCATCCTTGGCCCTCTGGTGTGCCAAGCCCCATGCATGGCACCTGGGCATACAGTGGTATGCAAAGGGTCTATGGACACTACCCTCTCAGGGCCTCCAGAACATGAGCACAGATGGAATTGGTCACTAGTGAGTGTGTTCACTGAGGCAGCAAGGCCCAGGGTGAAGGGTCACTCCTGTTGATCATGGCCTTGGCACCATACCCTTGGGGATCTTAAAAATGAGCAAGAGGGATGCCTGGATGGCTCAGCAGTTAAGCTCTGCTTTTGGCTCAGGGCCTGATCCTGGAGTTCAGGGATCGAGTCCCACATCGGGCTTTCTGAGAGGAGCCTGCTTCTCCCTCTGCCTATGTCTCTGCCTCTCTCTGTGTGTCTCATGAATGAATAAAATCTTTTTTAAAAACCATGAACAAGAGGGATCCCTGGGTGGCGCAGCGGTTTGGCTCCTGCCTTTGGCCCAGGGCGCGATCCTGGAGACCCGGGATCGAGTCCCACATCGGGCTCCCAGTGCATGGAGCCTGCTTCTCCCTCTGCCTGTGTCTCTGCCTCTCTCTCTCTCTGTGACTATCATACATAAATAAATAAAAATTAAAAATAAAAATAAAAAAAATAAAAATAAAAACCACGAACAAGAGAAGATAACACATTCTAGCAAAGTCTAGAGGAGGGATTTTCCACGTAGTCTCCAAGGGTTTGTGCAACAATCAGAGTAGTGTCCCTATACTGGGCCCTATTTTGGGTACTGAGGACAGCTATTTGATCTTGGCTTGTTAGCCCAGTTTTAAGTCCCTACAAGACAGTCACAGTACACAAAATAGGAAGTAATTTGCCCAAGGTCACTGCTAGTAAAACAAATATTTGCTGTTAAAAACTGGAAATACGGGACACCTGGGTGGCTCAGCAGTTGAGCATCTGTCTTTTGCTCAGGGTGTGATCCTGGAGTCCCGGGATCAAGTCCCCCAGTTTCCCCACAGGCAGCCTGCTTCTCCCTCTGCCTATGTCTCTGCCTTTCTCTCTGTGTCTCTCATGAATAAATAAAATCTCTTTAAAAAAAACTGGAAATGTCCAATTTTTGTAATAGAGATTGGAACACTGTTTAGCCCAAGGCCCAGATGTGACTACATCAGCAGTTGAGGTGGGACTTCCCTGTGAGGTGAGCCAGCCTGAGGGTGACAAATCTTACGGCCCTTTTACTTTAAAAAAAAAAAACAATAAATTTAAAAATGGGGTGCCTGGCTGGCTCAGTTGGTAGAGCATGGGACTCTTCATCTCCAGGTCATGAGTTCAAGCCCCATATTGAGTGTGGAGCCTACTTTAAAAAAAGAAACCTTATGGCCCTTAGGTGGCAAAAGGGCCATAGGTTTTAAAAAGCCAAGTTCCAGTTTATGATGTGGTTTGAAATTCCCACAACTAACAGCAGGTGGAGCAGAACTAGACAATGAGCACACCCGCCCACCCCCTTCACCCCTAGTGCCCCGACAGTCTTGCCTTCTGTTGTCTAGTGATGGTTAGGGAAGGAATGGTGCATGGCCGTGGGCATAAGCAACTTGGATACAATAGATAGGAATATGGGAGAAAGGGATTCAGAAAAATAAGGAATATGAGGATTTTGTGGTGATCTAATTATAAATATTAAAAGGCTAAAGAGGAAATGGGTCTCAACCTTCATCCTTGGTAAAACTGTGGCTTGGTGGGTTGGTGTTTTTCACATTAAAGAACTTAGGAGATTAAAAAAAATAAAGACATTTAGGAAAGTAATACAATCCAGGGACAATTTACTTTGATTTAATTTACTTGCTTTGATTGTGCTATGCACTTGGAAGTGTGAGACTTCTGACCTAACTCGAGTGGATTAAGGACAAGCTGCAGGAAATTTGGACGCTCCTAAGCAGGTAATAGAATTTTTTTCCATTTGAATCAGGAACATTCCTTTTGTGAACATTCTCTTTTTTTTTTTTTTTTAAGATTTTATTTATTCGAGACCGAGAGAGAGAGAGGCAGAGACACAGGCAGAGGGAGAAGCAGGCTCCACACAGGGAGCCCGACGTGGGTCTCCAGGATCACACCCCGGACTGAAGGCGGCGATATACCACTGAGCCACCTGGGCTGCCCTCTTTTGTGATCATTCTGTGTTTGTATGTTATGTATGTGTTTTAGAATTCATTTCAAGGAGCAGGGGCCAGGTCCTTGCTGCCTCTCTATCTTTACCTCCATGCACAGAGTCCAGGCTCGCCTGATTACCTGCAGAGCTGTCAGTTCCACTCCATCTGAAGCAGAATGCTGGATCACTGATGGTGTTTGGTCAGCATCCCACCTTTGGCTGAACCATAACAATTCCCATTACCACCACCTCCACTTCTCCCTTAGAAATGTCCAGAATGTCTCCTTTGGTTGGGCAATGTTTCTCTGTAGTATCCTAAGGAGATTGACAAGATGGTCCCTGAGGGTAGCTGGATGATTGGATGTGCCAACGTGCTTGAGCACTGGTGAAACCTGTGATTGTGTGCAGAACCTCTGAGAGAAGGAGATGGGCTTGCCTTTGGATCCCCTCGCCTGCTCTATTGGGGAGACCAGAAAATGCAGACTCCACTTTCTTGGAAGAGAATGGGAGAGAGACATGTTAAGGTAAAGGGAAACCACTAGTGAGACCTGCCTCAGTGGTGCTGCTCTTGTCTGCATGTACACCTGGAGGGGTTGGCTTCTGCCCTGGAGCACATGCAGCTCTGAGGATAATCTAGCACTAGAAGAGCTGGGAGCATGAAAATGCCCAGGGCTTGGCACTTGGCCACTGGTATGTCCTCCCACCTCCATACCTGGTGGTAATCTGAGGGGACACCATCCTGAACGGGCCCAATCTTGTCTACTTTTCCTCTGAGGCAATGGTATCTCAATTATAGAATAGTCCCTTCCTAATAGAACAGTGCCTCTCTCCCTTTTCACC